GAGAAGGGCTATTCAATAAATTCAACTTTAATAATAAAAGGATAGACTGGGAGAAAATAAAAAGCGAACTTACAAACATTCAATGGGAAAATGTTCTAAGTAATAAAAATCCTACACAAGGAATAGAAAAACTGACTTCTGAAGCCTGTGGAGTCTGTCTGGAACATGTTCCTCTTGAGGAAAGCCAGAAAGAGGTCCAACGTAGAAAGAGAATGCAGACGACACTACAAAAGAAGAAAAAAGTTAAGTGAAATGCTGAAGTAGACACGACTTTCCATACAAAGAAGGAATAATTTAAACAGGGAGATTGAAGAAATCGAACAGAGACTGAAGTATTCATATCGGATTGAAGAAAGGTAACTAGAACAGAAAGCAATTTAAGAAATAAAGAAAAACCCAAAATATTTCTTCATATGCTAAATCAAAAGCAAAAACCACTGCCAGTATTGGACCTATTTGTACTAGTGAAGGTTCATATACTGAGGATGACAATAAGTGAAATCCTAAAAAAGCAGTATGAGGACATGTTTAGCACCCCGATACATAGCATGAAAGTGGAAGATCCGGACAACTTCTTTGTGTGATATCCAAACCCCTGTAAATATAACTGATATCAACACGAGCGTGGCAGATTTTGAAAGAGAAATTGACAATATGCCTATGCACTCAGCCCCGGGTCCAGACTCTTGGAATTCAATATTTATAAAGAAATGCAAAGTGCCAGTAGCACAGGCACTCAGTATAGTGTGGAGGAAGAGCTTGGACACGGGGGAGATACCAGATGCACTAAAAGCAGACATAGTCCCTCTACACAAGGGAGGTAGCAAAGCATTGGCAAAGAATTATAGACCAGTTGCACTAACATCCCACAAAATAAAAGTATTTGAGAGATTGATCAGGAGTCAGGTCACTAGTTTCATGGAGACCAATGACCTCCACAACTCAGGCCAACATGGATTTAGAGCAAGAAGATCATGCCTTCCACAGCTACATGACCATTATGACAAAATCACTGAGGCATTAGAAGAAAAACAGAATGCAGATGTGTACACGGATTTTGCAAATGCATTCAATAAATGTGACCATGGTGTGATAGCCACAAAATGAGGCCAATGGGAATAACTGGTAAAGTAGGATGCTGGATACTCGGTTTTCTGTCGAACAGAACACAGAGTAACAGTCAACAATATAAAATAGTCCAAGCGCAGTTAAAAGCTCAGTACCTCATGGTACAGTCCTTGTACCACTGCTTTTCCTTATTCTCATATCAGATATAGACTCAAAACAAATACAAGGCACAGCTTTGTATCATCCTTTGCAGATGACACAAAAATCAGCATGAAAATTACCTCTGCTGAAGATATTGAAAAACTACAAGCAGATATTAATATAGTTTTTGACTGGGCAGCAGAAAATAACATAATTTTTAACAGTGATAAATTCCAGGTACTCAGATATGGTAAAAATGAGAATCTTAAACATAATACAGGGTACAAAACGCAATCAAATTTGCCCATAGTAGGAAAGCAACATGTAAAGGATTTGGGCATAATGATTTCTGACGACCTAAATTTTAGGGAGCATAACCAAGCAAATATTGCGGCAGCCAGGAAAATAATAGGATGGATTACGAAAACTTTCAAATCCAGGGATCCTATCACAATGGTTGTACTCTTCAAGTCACTTGTGTTGTCCTGTCTTGAGTACTGCTCAGTAGTCACTTCCCCATTCAGAGCAGGAGAGATTGCTGAAATAGAGGGAGTACAGAGAACATATACGGGATACATAAACGAGATAAAGCATCTAAATTATTGGGATCGTCTTGGAGCTCTCCGAATGTACTCGCTAGAAAGACGACGGGGGAGAGATCAAATAATATACACGTGGAAAAATACGGAGGGCCAGGTCCCAAATTGCACAGTAAAATTACATCATCTCGGTGAATGATATGGAAGAAAATGCAGAACAAACTCAGTGAAGAGCAGGGTTGCCATAGGCACAATTAGAGAGAACTGTATAAACATCAGAGGTCCACAGTTGTTCAACATACTCCCTGTGAGCAATAAAAATATTGCCAGAACAACAGTGGACATCTTCAAGAGGAAACTAGATACTGTAGTTTCCTCCAAGGAGCACTGGACCAACAGGGCTGCGGTGGATATGTTGGCCTGCGGGCCCCTGCAAGCAACAACCTAGTGGACCACCATTAAACCATTGTAGGTACAATTATCTCTAGGTCAAATACAATGTACACTTCACAGTACAATGCCATTTTATGTGGTCGTCTGGTGACAGTTTATTATCCAGAACCATGCCTAGACCTCTTTCTTTGTCATAGTTCTTTAATAAAATTTTCACATAACTGATAAGTTGTTTGTGACTAGTTGTTGCCTAGTCATTGTGTTGTGTTTTGTCGTGTGAGCAGGAACTAGGAAGACAAAGCAGTCATACCAGATGGCGGTTCTAAGGGAATGCACATAGATATCTGCACCCCGTTACACATTATTTTGCAAATATTCTTACAAATTGGGAACCTTGCAAACATGGACAAAAGGCAAACGGTTCCACTTATAAAAATGGAAAAGAAGCTCCTCTAAATTACAGATATATATACATATATACAGATATATACATACAGGTGTGTATATGTATAGTAGTAGTAATAGTAGGTATCCTTCAGTCTCGGGAGACTATGGAGTTGCGCCCTAGTTGTCAATCCTGGTGCAGCGTCTGGTGTGACTGATGAGGCTAATCCGAGAGTGGCA